TATATATACATTTTATTAGAGTACTTTTCATAATATCACATTCTAAATAAATGTGGTACTATTAATTGATTAAACTAATAAATAATAATATTTCAAAACATAAGGCAATTAGCCATCAAATCAGTTGATAATACAATTAATAATTCTTATTTTTAAAAAATCTCACTTAAAAGCTTAATATCTTCAATATTTACTAATATTTAATCGTAAGCTTTTCTTATTATAATTACATACTTTAAATACTTAATAGGTAATACAACGCATGAAAATGAGAAGCTAGTAATTATAAAACTTTTTTTTTTTTAAATACTTTGAAATGATTTTGTTAAAAGGTTATATGGAAGAATGATTGAAGAGTGACGTAGTACGGTGGGAGGGCATGTAAAAGAGCAAAATGGAGATAGAGATAGATAGTCATAGATGGATATGATATCTACATTGATATAGTGAATTTTTGTGTGTCTGTTTATGAGTGCAAGAGAACTTTAGCTTTGTCTTTAATTATTTTAATGCCATTAGTTATGTTAAACAATATTTAAAAATACATGAGTGTAAAAAAAAAAACATAATTATAATCTATTCTTGTCTTAGTCAATAATTATATAATCAATAAATAAACTTTAAATTTATGTATAATAAAAATTTTGTCTAATAGGAATAAGATTTTCGATTAAACAATATCAATTGAATTGTGTCATAGCAACTTAGTCATTGACATTATAAGAAAAAGTTTGCGAATAAAAATATCGGATTAATTGTAATTTCCTATAACATGTATTGTAAATGTATAAAATATATTGTCAGATAATAAATATAAGTTACAATCATTTTTCAATAAGAAATTAGAAAAAGTTAGTGGGATAAATAATAGACAAGAGTAATAGAAACTTACTTTATTCAGATAAAAATAGTCTTTGTCTTGGACAACGATGCATTAGTGCCCTGTATCGTCATATTAATATTTACAGTTTCTTTTTTCTTAATTTTTCTTATTAATTTGTCCGATCTACTTGACAAAGTTCTAAATTTATATTGAATCCGTAAGAATCATTTGAGAAGCACTCAATTAAATTAAAAATAACATCAATGATACTATTTAAGGTGTATGCGCTGGTTGGTTGGCTCTTCCAACAAACGCATTATATAATAATTTACGCTTGAAGCCTCTACTACTTTCTTTCTTAAACTTTCTCCATTTCAATATAATGTATAAAGTAGCATAAAGTAAAGCATAATGCAAGCCTATGTAGTTATAGCCATTACTTTAACAATTGTCATTTAAAAGAAAATATGCTCTTATCTTAAATGCAATTTAATTTCTAATCCTATCATTATACTCCATATACTTTTAATTGTTTTTAAAGTTCCACTCCCTCGTTCGATTATGTTACTTACCATAAAAGTATCTGATGTAATGAATAATCGCGGAGGGCCAATACATACCAATTTTGTAGTTAGCATTTAAAAAGTATATACATACGTAATGGTTTTTATACAATTTGTGACAATTTATAAATAAAAATGTGTAAATATACTTCAGTGAATATAATTTTCGGCTTATATTACGTTTGGTGTAAGTTATACCTAAAGAAATTAAGGAACATTGGAAGATTAAAGAGGGCCTGGCCATCCAAAGTCATGTCAAACAGTTGAAAAGATAATCACTTCTTCATTGGCTCTATTAATAGGATTTTCGTTTATTATTTTTTTTTTTCTTCGAAACGATGAGTGCAGTCTTGTCTATGTGCTAACCGCATACGAATGAGCTTTGATTTATCGCTACAAATTTTCATTTAATAAAGACTCGATCGTATGAGCTAATTGTGAAAATTGCTGTCCTGATGACTGGCGAAGAAATTACAAATTTGCGGATAAAATATCAAAATGGATTTGCAATGAGATCTAGTTTGTAATATACTTCAATCTCAAACGATATTTAAATGCAATTATATAATCTCCAACATATATAAATAAGTATGTGTGTGAGGGAGGTGGAGGGTGTGCGTGTGATTGTACTTGAAATGTACTTTCACTACATAAAGTGAAATACAATAATTGACTGGTAAATGATAACTTAAATCCAACAGTAAAAGGGAAAGTAATAAGTTCATGTACAAAATTATTAACTACGTTAATCTAAAACTATGATTAAATTAAAAATATATTTAGTTTCAGTATGTGTGGTTAAATTCCCAATAGCGATGTATTAAAAAAATTATATACACAACAACACAATCGATGTTTCACAACATTTCATAACATTTAATTTTGCTTTACCAAATTGCCTTATTCAATTCAAATGACAATTATTAATATCAGCAATTATAAAAATCAATAGAATTTCTAATTGTAAGTTATTTTATATCTAAAAGGTTGGCTTTATTCGCAAATCTTCTGTATTTGAGTATTTGAGCAAGCAAATAATTATACAAATTCAAGCAAAGAATTTATATATTAAATAAAGAATTTTTTTATTGCTTTCTTGAAATTTGGCGTAAATATTCTTTGTCAAGCCCAATTACTCCAGAGCTCGAAGTGCAGAAATCATCGATAATTTAATTTGTTTACGCCAAAGAAAAGTATCAATGATCAAGTTTAAAATTAATCTGAAATTGTTTACTAATGAAAAGGTAAACATTTTTTTTATAAAGCTTTATTAGTCGTCTATTTAATAATTATAAAAAGACAGTCAGAGTTGGCTGTAGGAAGAATCAGTAGAATGATTTTTTAATTTTGTAAATGATGCGGATGGAATGAGAAGGTACGTTTAAAAGTAATACTGTTAAAAAAAAAAAAAAAAAAAAAAAAAAAAAAAAAAAAAAATGAATTTTACACATAGATTTCAATGAACATTTATTTACTTATGAATATAAAATTACACATTATTTGATGGATGAAACAAATACCGTACAATATCTCACATGTGTAATCATAAACTCGACGACGATTTCCTCATGACAGTTACAGCGAGTAATCGAATCGTCCGCGCACAAAAAGAACAAAAAAAAAAAAAAAAAAAAAAAAAAAAAAAAAAAAAAATACGTTAAGGAATAGCAGAAGAAAAAAAAACGGTAAAATAAACTTTATTCTCATATCACTTAATACACACTCATATATGTCCATATGTTATGTGAAAATACAATACATTAAGAAGAGATTTGAAAGATAAAGATTATTAACGACTCGTTTGCTCACAATACAACAAATTATTGTATGCGTGCAATGTACGACACAGGCACAATAATGAAGTACCTTACAATTCTTAATTACTGATTTACCGTAAACATAAGTGTGCCAGGCATGATGATTCTTTTAAATCAACAATTAATAAACCACGAAGTTTCTCTACCCAAGTTTCATTTCCTTCTCTACTTATAGCTTAAGAAATCTCTTAAATGATTTTTTTTCTTTTCATTATTCTTATAGATATTACATATTATACAGTAATGTACACGTTTCATTATTCCAAGCGACAAAAGTGAAAGAAAAAGAAAAAAAAAAGGAAAAAAAAGAGAAAAAAAGGGAAAAAACAAGGTAAAAAAAAGAAAACAAAAAAAAGAAGAGGAAAAATAGATAATTTTTATCGCATCGCCGCTATTTATAATATTCAAAAGTCACATATCATCGTTCAGCCAATAACATCGAATTTTGTCTTATAAAATCTACAGCGATGGTGAGTTTCATCTTACATGCTAATTTTGCTAATTACATAAATACACTCTATTTACATAATGTTTCCTGTGTGCTTTATGTGAGAGTCTATAGAGAGTTAATTTTTCTCCTTGCGTAAGCCAGCGGAAGTCCCTCCTCCATTGTTTTCGATACTTTGTGTTCCATTTTTTTTGTTTTTGTTTGTTTTTGTTTTGTTTTGTTTTTGTTTTTGTTTTGTTTTTGTTTTTTATTCGCATCTTACGTCTTTGCATCATCAGCTGTAAAACTATCTGTAGCTATATCGAGAAGAGGCTTCAGCACTTTTGTTCTATTTACATTACAAGAACTCCTTTGTCTCCCCCCCCCCTCTCTCTCCCCCTCTCCCTCCTCACTCCCCCTATACGTTTTATTTAGCGAATCTTCCACCTCGAGCTAAAGCGAGGTACAAGTGTGGAAATCGCCACAACTACAACTTATGAAGGTATAGCCGGATCGCGCTATACTTTCAAGTTCGTTATCTCGCTTCTTCATAGAGTCAGGTTAGGTTCTTTCTTTCTTCTACACGCAGCTGAACTTGACACCTAGAAAATAGCAAAGCAAAGCAATAGTATTAATTGTTTGAATGCCTCGGGAATTCGCGTATTATTCGATTATTTTCATTTGAAAGACCATTGTATAATCGGACAATTATTGCCTCAGGGATAACAAACGATTTTCATACGATTGTCAAAAATAACGAATAGCGAATAAATTTATTGAATAATAAATAATGTACGATTAAACGATGTTCATTCATTATAGTTCATTTGTACGTTTACATTATTGTTCAAGTATTTTATACGCATTGTCAGCTCAATACCTACACCCATACCATCCCCCTCCCCTACCACCTACCACCAATGACCTAACACCTACCCACTACCCGAGAGACATTTGTAAACATTTGTTTTTTCATATATAAAAACTGTTTTACACTAATTTTATCTCTGTCTCTTTTAAATCATTCATTCAAATTTTAAAATCATCATCATCATCATTATTATTATTATTTTTCATTTATTTATTTAATCTTTTACTTATTCGTTGTTAAAAAAATCAGTATGGTTTTCAAAACATAAAGTAGGTTAAATTTAAAATTATATATATATATATATATATATATATATACTTATAGACAGTTGAGCGGGAATTGAGGTGGAGGGTGTGTATATTGATAGGATATTGAGTGGTAATAGATCTAGCGATAAATGCTTTTAAAAATGCAATCGATGTGCCCATAATGATAATTACCCTCGACAAAATGAGACTCAATTTTGTTTTAATTAATCGTACAGATAGAGGCGAGAGGCGAGAGGCGTGAGATTTCAACGACAACATTAAGTATTCATTATTGGCCGGTCGGTTTGTCATTGCTAATCATTCGGAGCAGGGCGGGACAGATAGCAGCAAACAGCCCGTATGATTTATCGCTAAACTCGAGGATATCGAGAGGGGAGAGATAGAGCCTCGGCGTATAATCGGCAAAAAATTCGCCCGGCGTCGAGGAGCCGTCGTTGTCCGGGGTGAATGCGTGGATGGAGGTTGGATGGTGGAGAAAGGAGCGACTCGTGTGCCGCTATTGCTTTATGAATGTTTCACCGAGTGGCCTATGGTTATGATTTGCGTGGTTTGGGCCTGTACCGTCGTCGCTGGAGTAGCAATTGTGGCAATGCAGCTTGTGGTTGCGCACGCGCACGTCCGTCCCCATGAGTCCGTCTCCCAGTCTCACGTGGCACACGCAGCACTTGAAGCACTCCATGTGGTAGAAGAGCCGGAGGCTCTCGATTATCATCGCCGCGCCCCGTCCTGAAATGCAAGCGAGTGAGTTGAGCGCGTGATCGTTGGATGCCGATGGGCCGGCCGTCGCCCGGGAGCAGCGGAACCGCTCGCCCCGCCACGAGCTTCGAGCCTACAATCGGCCTTATCGATTACCCACCCAGTTCATCGCCGCAGTGCGAGCACTTCTTTTTGCCGCTCACACTCAGCATCTTCTCCTGCGTCTCCGTCCCGTTGGCCGACTGGTGCACCTTGTGCTGCTGCATCTGGTAATGCTGGGGCGAATGAAGATGCTCTTGGCTCGTGCTGTGCTCCAGCCTGCAACGTTTCACACTTGCTATTATTGTGGATGCGCTAGGTAGGAGGAGGAGGAGGTGACTGAGAAGGAGGGGCTGGAGGAGGAGAAGGCAAGTTATTCGCGAGCGGCTCTCATTGCTAACAATTTCCGGCTCTTTGTACACTGCGCGCATGCTTCGAGCCATTTTACGCACAATTTTATTTTTATCGTATAACCTCTTGAGGACGCATGGAATCGTGCCGAGAGCAAGAGTGGAGGTGGAGGAGGAGGAGGAGGAGGAGGTGGAGGAGGAGGAGGAGGAAGAGGAGGAGGAGGAGGAGTTTGAACTCGTTAGAAGATTGTTAAATTATGCATGGGGTGGTATAAAGTTACGTTGGCCATCCTCAGCTGTATTATCTAATAAGGACTTTGAACAGTTTGGATCCAACACGATATTATAAGGATCTTGACGATCGGTCGCGTCTCACCTTCGTCGTGGCGGCTGCGGCTTTTCCTGGACCCTATTTTGGATTCTCTTGGTGAGCGTCTGGATGACGGAGTCTGGCAGCGGTTTGCCGTCCGAGCGAGGCGGCGATGCAGTATAAGGCACCACCGAGGTTCCGGTCACGTGCGGCTTCCGTACCGGTGAGCGCTGATTCTTCTCATTGATCCTCCGCTGCTCCGCCTCCTGCGACAAGGAGCGATCGGGGTTTTATATACCGCTACGGGGTCATTTCCCGACCCTGTCTCTCGAGCCACGTGACGAGAGAGAAGAGAGAGAGATAGAGAGAGAGAGAGAGAGAGAGAGAGAGAGAGAGAGAGAAGAGAGAGAGCTTGTACTCACCTGGATGAGCCAGTGTTGGTAGTTGTAGTCGTGGGTGGCTCTCGGCGCCTCGCTCTTGCGCCGCTGTACCCACTGGTCGGCTTGGACGATCCTCGGTCGGGGCACCGCCGAGAGCGCCTGAAGCGTCTGCCTGCTCATTTGCTGGCCGTGGTGGACGCTCGGCCTCAGGGGTGCCTCCACCTGCTGGGGTATCGAGTCCGCCGATGGCACGCGACTGCTCCTGCGATTGGACGCGGATCGCGAGTTTAAAAGTTCGTCCATTTGGGCCGAATGGGTAGGGAGTAGTAGGGAACTCGGAGCTTCTGTTCTCTGGATTTTAATCGATTGCGCTAGAGCGCCTGGGAAAAAAGCTGAGCTGGGTAGGTGGGTGGGTGGGGCGAGTGACAAGGCTCACCTGATGGTGGCGTCCCGCTGCCTCTGATCGATAAGCCTGAGAGGCTTGGCCGGTGGTATGGGTGGCTGGGGCGGTGCCCATACCCATCTCTTGCGTTGACCGGGGCCCGGCTCCTGTAGGAGATTCGGCATCGAGGATCTGTAATTGAGGGGCGCAGCCAGGGGCTTGCCGTACTGGGGCTGACGGGCGAGGTTCGTCGGAGGCGTCTGCGCCACGTCTTGCAGGGACTTCCACTGCTCGTGAAGCTTCTCCGCGAGTTGTTGCTGCTTTTGCTCGCGGTAGGCGAGATTACTGCGCTGGCGCTTGAGCTCCTCCTGCTCCAGTTGAAGCAGCTCGCGCTCCACCCGCAGGACATCCTGCTTTGTTTGTCCGGGCAGGGGAAGGCTAGTTGTTAGCTGGCGTATGACATTGGCCGAGACTCGATCGCGTCTTCTCCAAGTCGTCGGGGGGGGGGGCGTTTAAACGCGGCGAGGGACACTCGACTATTTTATCACTTATTGTTTTTTGTTTTTTCTTTCTTTTTTCTTTTTTGTTCTTACTTTAAGGCAGGACCAAGTATTATGTATCAGTGTTGCAATTTATCGCGCGAACTGTGATTATTATTAATTACTATTGCTATTAGGACGGGGGTTAAAGGTTATTGGGGGTAAGAGTGAGCACGGATGGATAGGGTTGGGATATTTTTATTTAAAAACACTTTATCGCGATATTTCATCCTTTATCCGACTCGACGTAGTTTTGGTTAGTTTTAGTCGTAAGGAACGTCGATGATGCACTTACCCTTGAGGAGGAGTACTCGTCTTCGTTGATGCTTAGGCTCGGGCTCGTCGGCTTGTTCTGCAATACACGTTAATGTGTTTATGTTTAGCAACGCTCGTGGTACACAGTGAGCAAGTCATGTTTTTTTTTTTTTTTTTTTTTTTTTTTTTTTTTTTAATATGCTTTTAAGGATTATGGTATAATGCCGGGTCGGGAGTACACGTGTTGTACCCGTTAGCGTAATAAATGAATAAGTTTTTGCTTGGACTTAACGTTTTGATGAATATTTTGCGTCAAACTCGCGATCCATTACGCGCAAAATATTGATTCGACTAATCGAACGCTCACGACTCGAAGAATAATTCGTTTGGTGAAGGAAAGCCACGTATTTGGGGCATGAGCAGTGATGAACAATTTTCAAAATTATTTTTATAAGGCAGCATTTGAAAAACATCGACTCCTCGATCCTATCCGACTAACGACTAAAAACGCACCAAATGCAAAATCTACAGGCATTTAATTGCGCATTAACAATTAAATAATATATTTATATAATTATTGTTTGGCTAACGTATTTGTTAGTTAAATATAGTTATTTCGTTGTCTGGTATTTTATCCTTATATGTATTTATTTGCGTGTATGTATATTGTGGCTGCCAATGGCTGAGAGGGATGACCGGTCGTGTAATGTTACGTCATCGCGATGGAAAATAAATGAGAGATAGAGAGTCGCTTCGGCTATAAGAGACTAATTAAATTAAAGCTTCTAATACGAATTCCAAGGCTCGACGATAAGATCGTCGACATTTTGTTTTATGCTTTTGGTTTGAGTTGACCGAACGTTTATTATTAAGCCCAGCGAGGCAGTTAACAGGAATTTTTAATCGCTTATATTATTATCCCACCTGCTTTCCTCTCGCGCTTACCTATCAGTACGAAGAGATAATCGTCCTGGCGAACGGAGCAGTGCATTACTCGGCGAAAATTAATGAGCTCGCGCTAAGTGCGTTAAAAGTAATATTAGAAATTCCGAGTGGGCGAGCGTCGTTACCTCTTGTGCTTTCACTTGCATCTCCTCCTGTCTGCGCGCTTCGGCGCTCCTTCTCTCTCGCTCTTGCATCCTCGTCTGCTCCTGGCACCGCGGCTGTTCCTCGTCCTCATCGTCGTCTCCGTCGTTCACCGACATCTCGACCTTCACGTCCTGCTGCTCCTGCTGCTGCTGCTGCTGCTGCTGCTGCTGCTGCTGCTGCTGCTGCTGCTGCTGCTGCTGCTGCTGCTGCTGCTGCTGCTGCTGCGAATTCTCATCGATGCGCTGTTGCTTGTTAAACTCCTGCTGGCGCGCCATCGTCGTTGTCTTGATCTTCTCCTCCTCCTCCTCCTCCTCCTCCTCCTCCTCTTCCTCTACTTCATCCTTCTCTTTCTCCTTACGCTGCATCTCTTCTTGCATACGCAGATTCTCCTCGTTCATCCTCAATGTCTCGATGTCCGGTTCCTGATGACGGCGCTGTTGTTGTTGTTGTTGTTGTTGTTGTTGTTGTTGTTGTTGCTGCTGCTGCTCAACTTGTTGATGCTGTTGCTGCTGCTGTTGTTGCTGTTGTTGATCGACCTGTTGCTGCTGCTCGACCTGTTGCTGCTGCTGATTCTCCGAGACTTCCTTAGAGGCGCGTTCGCGTTCCAGTAGCATCTTCTCCTCCTCGAGCTCACGGAGCTTGTGGGCGAGCTTCTCACCAATGTCGCTGCAAACGAATCCGAACAATTAGCACCTTGGCGATGATTTACTTGGGCGGACAGAGTCACACTACCGTTCCCACTCACCTGTTGGTTTCGCGCTTATTCTCGTAGCGCCATTGCTCTTCGCGCTCGAGCACCTCGATGATCTCACGCTCCTTCTTCGTGATCTCGTCCTCCTCGGAGGAGGTGACGCTGGCGCCGAAAGGCTCGCTGCTCTGGCGACTGTGCTGGGACATATCCGGGCTCACGGGCTGCTTGGCCCAGTCCTCGGCCTGGCCGAGCTCCACCCCGGAGTCCCGCTCGTGGCTCGAGTCCTGCTCGTAATTGCTGTCGGTGTCGTAGGAGCGCCGATGCAGCTGCTCGATACGTCGCTCCTCCGCCAGGATCGCCGCCATATCCGGAGGCTTGGTCAGCGTGAGCTCGCGCTCGAGCTCGTCCTCGTTGAACTGTGAAGACGGCGCCAGAGTGCGTTACGAGCTGCTTAGAGTGCGCGAGCCTCGATTTTTATTCCCATTAAGGCGATTCCACCTTTTGCCAAGTGGCGGCATCCACCATATTATTATTTGCACTTTTGAGTCGCGTATTTTTATCAATAAAGCAACGACAGACGTAACGATCGAGCTGTTACTAATTAATTAGGCCATGGATCAGTCGATACGTCATCGGTCTTTCACGTCTCTTGCAGTTAATCAGTTCTATTATTAGTGCTCGTTGAACATAGTGCTTTGGACGGCAAATTTTGCTTAACTGACACGATTGAAAGAAATAGCTTACATTCATCAATGTTCGCGTACGTCCGTGTACGTCCGTGTACGTCCGTGTGAATTAATAATTACGGATGTACAAGTCGATAGATTTAAGAATTTTATGATGTTTTTGGTCGATTTACTTGTCCTCCCCGCCCCCTTACCATTTGTACCATCCAATGATGATGATGATGATTATTATTATTATTATTATTATTATTATTATTATTATTATTATTATTATTATTAATTTTCTCGATAATGCTGAAATTGTCGCAGAACGATAGGTGTTACGGATAGAAATTTTAAGACTTGAATTTATCAGTCGATCTTTTCTCGAGAACGATATTGGAGCTGATGGCTCTTAAGAAGTTATTTTGTAGAAAATCTCTTAGGTCCCCAGGGTTTTTAGAGTGACGCTATGCAGTATATGAAGATACAATTTTTATTTCTAAATCACAGACAATCAGCATAATGATAATTAACGTTACTTTTAACTGCCCCCGATTCGTACAAAATTACATCTTTTGTTGTTGTTTGTTTGTTTGTTTTTTTTTTTTTTTTTCATTTGTAATGCTTAATCTCATGGCTTTGTGTATAACGGAAGCATGGAAAAACGCGTCCGATGACAAAGAAGAAATATGATAAAAGAGATATTATGATAGACGCGAGTATCTCTTATTTTTCCTCCTCCTCCTCCTCCTCCTCCTTCTTTTTATTTTTCTTATTCTTCTCTTTATATAGTAAAGTAGAGATTCAATACAATTACAAAGTCGGTTCACAGCCTCACACAAGATCATAAATTAAAGAAAACATTTTTAATTAGGAGATTCGATCAAAATGCAAAATAATTAAAATATATGATAGTCTCGCCTCCTCACAGTGCTTCTCGACCATTCAAATTACGTAAATAAAAAGTATTTTAATTAATGCGTTTACGAATTGACAGATGTATGAGGAGGAATGTCTACTGGAAATGAAAACCCGGTAAAAAGTGAGCGAGCCACACCCACTCTACCGCGTCGAAGCGCATATTAATGGACATTTATTATCATCGAAAGTCAATATGTTCATTTGTCGTATAAATATAATAACACTCCTAATGCTAATTACCAACCAATTGAAGGATCAATCGCGCCACCAATTTGGCAAGCGGTGGGAAATGTTATTATTACTTGCGCAATTACTTGGAGGATTTGAATCATCAACAATGTAGAGATATTCATATATCGTTTAGTTTTGGAGAAATACTTGAGACTCGCGACAATGAGAGTTTGCCGAAGGCGATGACATAATTCAAAGTCTGATTAAAGGATCGGTCGAATCCTTCATGGTCGAATATCGCGCTTAACGCCCCAATAACCGCAAGATTAATCAACCGACGAGAACGTCTGCCGCGCGCAACGGTCGCCCCGTTCAACCTTCGCAAAGATCTTCTCACGGCCCCGCCAGCAAAAATCAAAATTAGAAATTAAAGAAAAAGCCTACTTACCCCTTCGATGCCTAAGAAGTCGGATCGTCGGGTACGCAGTTCCTTCTTGATCCTGCGCGTGGAGTTGAGCCTCTTAAGTGGCTCGATCGGCATATTCTCCTCGTCGCTGAGGTCGACGGGTGGCGGTGGTGGCTTTTCCTTTGGGGGCTCGACGCTCGTCGGCGGACCCAACGGGAACGACAGTCCCGTAATAATCTCCTCATCGCTGGAGAAGCTCAGCGGCAAAATCTGCACGAGACCGATGCTGCGTTACCCTCCCTTTCCTTTCCAAATACGTGATCTCGAGTGCCGCCTTAACAGACGCTCCTTTCGGCCCGCTTTTCGACACGATAATTCATGCCTCTCGATTTCGGCCGCGACGACGGTCAATTTGTTTACGTAGACGGCAAGTCGCCCAAATAATTCAAGGAAAAAATAATGGAAAAATCCAGGTGTCAAAATGCCGTTCCCACGAGAATAAATGGCTTTCCCGTACGCCCGGCGGCATATTAATATTAAATATTCACGATTGTCCCGAGTACAGTTAAGAATGCTTATCGATTTTTCTCTATGCGCTACCATTCGCGTGGCTGCGCAAAAATCCCCATAAATCTACAGCCGACATTGCAACTTGCAAGCTTGCTAGATCGTCCGCTTCGTTGTTCTTATCTCGAGGACCCGTAGGAACGTGCTTTCCAGTAAATTGAATATTTGTCGGGGGTAAAGGCGCGCTCGAGCGAGTATCGGTCCATCCTTCCCACACAGTCACAATAGCCGTGTCGTTAAACCATTCTTCTGTCTCTATCGAGCGGACCGATACACTCTCAAACTCAAATTCGTCAAAGGCCCCGACGTAGCTCATCGCAAACGGAGCTTTTTCAATGTGTAATAACGACTGTCTCGGGCTCCGAGGTGCCAAGAGGTCACCCAACGCCATTGCCGCATCGCTCGCAATTGACAGATCGTTATCCTCAATTGCCATGAAAAATCATCGAATTTAAACTAATTAATGGCGTCACGTTGTTGGAATGATGGTAGGCTCGTTCGGAGAAACTCCCGGGTGAGTGAAGCACTACCGATTGTCACAATATGCGCTCTGGAATATTAAAACGGTAGCGGCACGATAAGCCGATAGACAAACCGTCGTTAATTTTTCTTCGATCCGGCCAGTCGCGCGACAATTATCAGTTGGCCATAAGTCGCGCTTAACCGGAAAATGAAAATTATTATGCCGAGCGAAGCTTTTACTCAACGATCGATCGGCCAATGAATAGCCTTGACACGAGAGACTCGAAGTTGCCTAATGGGCAAACATTGCAAATATGTCTACTGTTCTGGGCGCATGACTTTGTGAATATTATTATTGTTAATTTTGTTTATTTTTGTTGCTTTTGTATCGTATAAAGCTCGTGGTTGCACGAGAGCTCGAACGACCGATAAAACAAATAAACGAGTTTCACGTCGCGCGCTCACCTGCTTCGATACGGGGGAGATTGGACTGAGGAAGTCCGTGCAGAGGCTCGTCGTCCTCTCGAGGGCGAGGCTCGTTGGTCTCACGGGGACAGCATCCATCTTAGGCTCCGGCCGCTGGGCCTTCTCTTCGGACTCCTCGGGCTCCTCCTCGAGCTCTGGCTCCTCCTCCTCCTCTTCCTCCTCGTCCTCGTCGTCGTTGTCGCCGTCGTCCTCCTCCTCTTCCTCTTCCTCTTCCTCTTCCTCTTCCTCTTCTTCCTCCTCCTCCTCCTCCTCCTCCTCCTCCTCTTCCTCCTCCTCCTCGTCGTCGTCCTCGGGCGCGATTTGTTCGCGCCTCGACGGCTCCAGGAGCTCTGGCTCGGGCTACGCCGGCCAACAGAACAAGAGCGAGCGTTACGTACTGTAATTCCGCATGAGCGTGCGCGCCAAGCCGCCGGAACGGCCTGCCGCGATATTTCGCAACGCCACATTCTATGTAAATACGCGGGGGAGGGGAGTGCAGTAGGAGACTGACGAGGTGAAGGAGGTGGAGGAGGTGGAGGAGGAGGAGGAAGAGGAGGAATTGGCGTGGGGGGGGGGGCGAACGGGATGCGTCTCGCAAGAAACGCTCGAACAAGCGAGTCCTCCCTCGTCGACATTCTACACCCCGCACACCGCCCCTCCCGCAGCCCCAACCGTCGACTCACACCCTTTTCGATTTCGTGGTCTCGTTGCTTCATTAATTTATTTCTCTCTCTCTCTCTCTCTCTCTCTCTCTCTCTCTCTCTCTCTCTCTCACTGGTAGCTTTACGTCGCGACGAGCGCGGCTTAAGGGAGGACACAACAAAGAGAGGAGAGGATTGGAAGTTTTCTGCCTCCCCCCACCCTACTCGCCCCATTTCTCTCTTTATTTTTGTTTATTTTTTATTTTTAATGTAGCAGACGTAAAAGGGTTTGTGGCTGGAACTTCATTAACATTTCATTCGCCGGCAATTTCAATTTTATTTTATTGTTTTTGAGGGCTCCGAGAGAAGAGACTTTTGACAAGAGCCCATTTTCAGAAATTATTTTATCACGTTCGAGCTTAATGCCGAATTAAAATATTAACAAATTAATCCGCACGTACGTTTAATCGCAATATCGTTAATTTATTCGGACATTAGATTTTACATCGGTCATTCTTCTTAATTTTTGATTTTTTACGAATTCTTATTAATTACGTTTTATTATCTTAAAGGGGATAAAATACACGTGTATATAGTCATGAATTGCGATTAATTGGAGAAATGTAAACCGAACTGTGTCAGATTACATAAGAGTTATTACAATTCGACCGACAATCGTTAACGAATGCGAGTAAGGACCGGTACATGCGCCTCATATAAATTGAGTGTAGAATGCGTAAAGAAGTAACGTTAGGTTTAGAATTTTACGGTTCCATAGTCGGCTTAATAGCAACTGCGCGAAGATGGGATGCATTTTTATAAATCCAACACATCCAATTGCTAGATTTTACTGCTAGTAGTATTTATATGGAAAGTTAGTTTTAATATTCGCGTATAACTGAATAATAATTTTTAATTGCGTTAATTAGCGACGGATAAGATTCGAAGAATCGTGAAAAATTTCACCTTTTCGTCACTCGAATTAATCAATAAATTTCACTTATCCACTGACTGGATCGTTATGACGATTTTAATTACCATATTACATGTCTTATTTGTCGTAACTATGTCTCATGAGAAAATTCTCACGATTTCAGAGGAGAAGTAATAAATTTAGCCTCTTACTCGAACAAGTCCTGCGAATCTAAATAAACTTTTGGCTTAGCGCGAAAACATTTCTTAACGCGTAATTTTTAATGTCGAAGCGCTGAAAACGACACTACGATTCACGATCCAAATACGTCATTCTGACTGTAATTATCGATAATTCCGTCACATAATGATAAAAGGTGCTGTAAAAATTGTACCCGAGAGCGCGAAATTTTTAGCAACTAGATAAG